GGCCTGCCTGGTCCCTGGGACCTGTCCTCTCCAGGACATGGTCACCATTGTCCTGGGTTCAGATCACCCTAATCCCATTCTAGATCATCTCTGACACCCAGCTATTTAACAGGGGACACAGGACCATGGGAAAGGGAGGAGCTTCGTGTGGTGTGGTGTCAAGCTATGTTGGTGGCCACGGGGAGAGGAGGCAGTGTTGACCGATGCTTTAGGCAGCCAGTCTGGTGTCTCCTGCTGCCACCCAGTGGCCATGTGAGGAAGTGCGGAATTACAGACTGGCGACAAGACGTCTCATCCTTGCTGTCTTTTCTTGGCTGAGAAGCCTCTTGGGGCTCTGGAGGTTCTGGGAAAAGTGCTCTTTAGCTTTTAAAGTGTGTGTGTGGGGGGGGGGCTCTGGTGTGCCATGAGTGTGTGGCGGTAAGAGGACACACTAGCGGAGGTAGTCAGTTTCCTCTACTGTGTGGGTCACTGATTGAAGCCAGGTTGTCAGGCTTGACGGCACCCCCGCTTCAGCTGCTGAGCACGCCAAGGTTCCACTTTTCGTCGAGACAAGGTTTTACACTAGCTCAGGCTGTCTTAGAAGCCATGTATAGCCCTCCCTGTCTGGCCTTGAACTCAGAAATCTTTCTGCCTTAGCCTCTTCAGTGATGAGATTATTGGCATGAGCCACGGAACGTCTGTTGTTTTTAAATAAATGTTAGTGGCTAGAGAGAAGACTTGTGGTTAAGAGCACTAGCCGTATTTCAGAAGACCCAGCTCAATCTCCAGCAGCACACTGGGGCTCACAACCACCTGTAACCCAGTTTCAGGGGATCTGACACCACTTCTGGCCTTGTCAGGCACCAGGCACATATGTGGTGCACAGACATATGTGTAGGCAAACACCCATATGTTTAAAAGAAGAGCAAACCATCATCTCATGTGTGTGCTGGGGGGGTGTACATGCCATAATACGTGTGTTGAAGTATACATGCCATGGCATGTGTGTTGGGGGTGCACATGCCATGACACGTGTGTTGGGGTGTACATGCCATGGCACCTGTGTTGGGGGTATATGCCATGGCACCTGTGTTGGGGTGTGCATGCCATGGCACCTGTGTTGGGGTGTACATGCCATGGGACCTGTGTTGGGGATGTACATGCCATGGCACATGTGTTGAGGTATACATGCCATGGCACGTATGTTGGGGGTACATGGCATGGCATGTGTTGGGGTGCACATGCCATGGCACCTGTGTTGGGGTGTACATGCCATGGCACGTGTGTTGAGGTGTACATGCCATGGCACATGTGTTGAGGTATACATGCCATGGCACATATGTTGGGGGTACTTGGCATGGCATGTGTGTTGGGGGTGCACATGCCATGGCACCTGTGTTGAGGTATACATGCCATGGCACGTGTGATGGGGTGTGCATGCCATGGCACGTGTGTTGGGGTGTGCATGCCATGGCACATGTGTAGAGGACAAGTTTGTGGAGTCGTTCTTTCACCTTCATGTGCTTTTACCCACTGAGCCGTCTCAGCAGCTCCTGTTATACTTTTAAGTATGTGATACACCATTGTACTTCGATGCCTGTGAATTATGACAGTCGTTTCACTCCTGGTACTTAACATGTCTTCTGCCAGTCTTGCTCAACGTCAGCCTTACTGATCTTTCCGAAAGACGCCCATCTATTTGCTGTTTCCCCGAGCAAGCACGGCTGGCTGCCTTCCTCTCACTCATGGGCAAGGTGCCTGGATTAGACCACTGGGCCGCCCTCGCCTCCTCACATCCTTGTAGCTCGCAGGAGCCTGATACACTAATGACACTGGAGGACAGTGTGGTGGGTGGGACTTGAGGTCGAGTGCAGATGCCACCTGAGAAGGTAAAGCAGGAAGTCACAGAGCAGGGACTCACATCCCTGGCCTGTCTCCTGGTATGCGTGTGTAACAGGTCAGAACACTAAGGGTTGGAGTCAACATACACGACTTTCAGAAGTGGCCTCATGATCTGCTGCCACCTCGTGCAAACCTCCTGACCCCCACATCCGGCCATCAGTGCAGCTGTGAACACGTGTGTGTGCAGCTGTGAACATGTGTGTGTGCAGCTGTGAACATGTGTGTGTGCAGCTGTGAACGTGTGTGTGCAGCTGTGAACGTGTGTATGCAGCTGTGGACACGTGTGTGCGGCTGTGAACACGTGTGTGCAGCTATGGACACGTGTGTGCAACTGCGAACACATGTGTGCAGCTATGAACATGTGTGTGCAGCTGTGAACACGTGTGTGCAGCTGTGAACACGTGTGTGCAGCTATGGACATGTGTGTGTGCAGCTGTGAACGTGTGTGTGCAGCTATGGACACGTGTGTGTGCAGCTCTCCACCGCCCCCGCGTCACTCCAGTCTTCCACTGCTCCTCGCCAATCCGGTGCTCTCCAGAGCTCCGCTAGTCCCTTTCTTCCTATCTGGGGCTAGGCTTTTCTCTTGAGACACCATCTCCCTGTAGCTCAGGCTGGCCTCAACTTCCCGCCTCAATCTAAGAGACCTGGGATTGCAGGTGTGTAATACCATCCTGAGCTCATCTTCAAGACTTCTAGTCAGTCCTTACATCTGATTCTTGAGTTATGGGGGATGGGACCCTTATTTCTCTAATAATAAAACAGACTCATTTTTGGGCTGCTGTTCTCGGCTTCTTTGGCTATAAATCTCCCTTCGCTTATAACCAACCACCTGTAACTCCGGTTCCAGGGGATGTGATACCCTCTTCTGGTTTCCATGGGCACCAGGCTAGATGCGACACACCAGACATACATGCAGGCAGAACACATAAAGATTAATGGATCCCAGTCTACCCACTGTTGGGTTATTGGCTACTCTTTTTATTTTTTTAATTTTAGTTTTTTGAGACAGGGTTTCTCTGTGTAGCCTTGTAGACCAGGCTGGCCTTAAACTCACAGAGATCCGCCTGCCTCTGCCTCCTGAGTGCTGGGATTAAAGGCGTGCGCCACCACCTCCCGGCCGGATTACTGGCTACTCTTTTCAGAACTAGACTTTAAATTATTAAAATGAGGACTGGGCATGGTGACACATGCCTTTAGTCCCAGCACTTGGAAGACAGAGGCCAGCCTGGTCTATAAAGCAAGTACCAGGACGGCCAAGGCTACACAGAGAAATCCTGTCTCAATAAGCCAAACATTTTTAAATGAGATCTGTGTGTGCTTGAATGCACACGCATGTGTCCTCCCCACGCCCCGGCTGCATGCCCTTGTGAGCTCAGATGCCAGAGGATGATGAGCAGGAGAACCAAATCCACAATGACTCTAGTCACCAGGGTTAGTGGCAAGTGCCCCTCCATCCTCCCTTGTGTAAGAGGCTCTCGTGCAGTCCAGGTAGGCCTTTGTCACCACACCTGTTTCACGTGGTGACACCGAGGGAATGCAGGACTTTGTGCACACTAAGCAAATCCTGTTAACAACTGAAGCACACACCCCCAGACAACTTTTTTCCTAAGTTGGGGCCCAGCCATTTTTTAAAAAGATTCACTTATTACGTTCTGTCTGCATGTACGCCTACAGGCCAGAAGAGGGCACCAAATCTCACTACAGATGTATGTGAGCCACCCCGCTTTTGCTGGGAATTGAACTCAGGACCTCTGGAAGAGCAGCCAGTGCTCTTAACCACAGAGCCATCTCTCCAGCCCCCAGACCGTCTTTTCACTCCTGCCCCAGACTCCCAAGTGCTGGGATTACAAGGATGTCCCAACATGCCTGTCAAAGTACTAGCATTTCATTTTTGTGATTCGAGTCCAAATGTTAGCAACATGGTAGTTTTTGTTTTTCTCTTTCCTTTTTGGGCAGTTTTTGGTCAAGTCCCCAAAAGTCACAGACTGAGACATACCACTTTTGTTAGCCTTCTGAGCAGGAGTCTAGCCCTGGGCTGGAGCCGCAGGAGTTCCCAGTCACCATGAGTCTGACTCCACCGCCCAGACCAGCCTCCTGGACCACTGAGACCTGAGACGGCATGGAGGACCCTCAACCTTCAACCGTACCTCTGCCCTGCCTGGCCAAGCTGGTCTGTCTTCAGAGGGCGCCAGAACCGCAGCTTGTCTGACACTCACCGGGGAGCTCAGCCCTCCCTCTGAGCCACACAGACCTAACAGTTGTCTCTTAAGCATCCCTTCCTCCCCTGCATCTCCCCTCCCTTGCCTCTCACCCCTCCCCCCCCCAGTCCTAACCGTCTTTCCTCTCCTTTCTGAGACAGGGTTCTGTAGCTCAGGATGACCTCAAACTCATTATGTAGATAAGGATGACCTTGAACCCCTGACCCTCCTGCCTCCTTCCTGAAGCTGGGCTGCTGTGTGTCAGAAACCCAACATGGAGGGATGGGCACACTAAATGAGTCAGGGCTGGGAGGAAGCCCTAAAATGAACTGGAGGGGATGCTCGGATGCTGCACCTAAAGTCAGTGCTAACACCGCCAGCCTGTCATCTGGAGAGTCAGCGGAGGCTCACAGCTCAGCCAGGATGTCAGGGGCCAGTGCTCAGACTCCTGTCAGGGTTAGTGCTCAGACTCCTGTCAGGGCCAGTGCTCAGACTCCTGTCGGGGCCAGTGCTCAGACTCCTGTCAGGGCCACAGCTCTGACTGAAGAGGAAAGATGCACTGCTGCTGGCCGGGCAGAATCGGGGGAAAGTGTGGCGGCCTCAAACTTGCAGCAGTTCTGTGTGGAAACCTGTCAGAGCCTGCCCTCCTCCCTCACCCTGGGAGGGTCCAGAGGACCTGCATGGGGTCTCTCCAGTGTTCCTATAGACTACTGCAAGGCTCAGGGCTGTGGCCTAAGGGTTCTGAGATGACCACTGCTGACTGACTAGAAACTTGGAGCCAGAGGCCAGCCTTGGCCCCTGCCCACCCCTCCCGCCTCAACAACGCTGGCCCAATGCAGGGGTAATAAGCACACTGAGCATAACCTCTGCATTCTAAGAGTCCAAACCCACAACACCCAGCAGACAGGAAATGATGACAGCTCTACTACATGGGAGTTTATTTGTCTCTAATTCCAGAACCTTAAAAAAATAGCTCAATATACACACATATGTACAAACCTCCGCTGACCCACGCAGGGTGGTGGGCGCCATGGAGATGAGCTGGCCTCCCCCATAGGCTGAGACTGACTGGGCTGGCTTCGGTCCTGAGGTCCGGAAGTGCTGGCTAGCCTAAACCCACCCTTGCCTAAGACCACCTTCCCGCAGGACAAGCGTGCTGGGCAGATGGACGTGGAGAACAGCTCAGTCAGAATCACAGGCCTCTTGTGCGGTGGTGGCGTCCACTGCAGAGGCCAGGCTGTCTTCCTGGCCTTTTAGCCGTTCACCTGAGCGGGGAGCACAGTGTTAAAATGCCCTGTGCCTAGGCCACCACCTCCAGGGCAGGCCCCATGGCCAGATGGCGCTTACGGATCAGCTCTGCGATGGCTCTCTGGGTCCGCTTTTCTAGCTTCTCCAGCTTCTTGGCCACATCTCTCTTGAGATCCCTGGGCAGGAAGGGGGTAGGGAAGCTAAGGGGTTGCCTGGTGTGGCCCTGGGCTCTTCCTGCAGCATTCAGCGCTGACGCCCCAGTCCCCAGGGGCTGCTCTGGGGACACTGCCTTCTCTGCTCTTCTGGGCTCCAAGGTCCACTGAGCTAACGAAGCTAAGACGATGCGTGCTACAAACCCAGCCCTGCATTTTCTCCCGCGTCGGCATCAGGGAGGGACTCGCCTTGGCCGGCTGTCAGCCCCGTTCATCTGCTGCCCCGGCCGCCCCCACCCCACTCCTGGGGCTTCCAGATGAATTCAGCCTGAGTTCTCAGCTCTGTGGTTCCTACAACACACACCCCATGCCTGTCTCACTGAATTAAAGCCCTGCAGTAGGTGCTGTACCCACATGGATCTGCAGGCAAGTAAAACAGCCTTGACCTCTGGCCCACGGCACAGAGACACGTGCTACAGCCTGCAGCACCCTGCCCGCCCCACCCACTGCCCCACCCACTTTCTCAGCTCAGTCAGAGGGCCTTGCTGCTGTGGAATATCCCTTCACACCTTGTAAAGATGTGTCACTGAGACTGGCTTAATAAAGAGCTGAGTGGTCAATAGCTAGACAGGAAGAGGGTAGGCGGGACTCCTGGGGACAGAGATGGGGGGAGAGGGAAAAGTTACGAGTCACGTGACAGCATGTAGATGAATAGAAATGGGTTAATCTAAGTTATAGGAGCTAGTCAGAAACAAGCCTAAGCCAAGCCAAGCCTTCTTAATTAATAATAAATCTTCATGTCATTTTTTGTGAGCTGGCAGCCCAAAGAAAAGTCTGCCTACATCCTGCAGGCTTCCAGAGTCTGTGTACCCCATTTCACAGTCAACACAGGGGCATAAACCCATGTCTGCTTGTCCATCCATTCCGCTCACTGGTCTCAGTGAACGGCTCACACGGGCCCTCGGGGCTGGTAGGCTCTCACCCTATGGAAGGTTGAAGGGTTAGCTGCTCTGTCATCCCGTGGGCCCTCCTCAGCGCTTACCCTCTGCGTCACTCACGTCCTGCTTGTTCCGACTCTCCTGTGGAGAGCTATGCCTGCACTGCTTGTCCCCTACCTGTCCCTGGCCGCCCTCCCAGCAGAGGCCTGTGACACACAGCAAGCACTATCGCCCCCCGAAGAGCCTGCATGGGCAACACTTACCAATCAGGTTTCCGGGGTGCCAGGTTGGCCAGGTCCTAGGGAGACAGGAGACAACTCATCAGGGCCAAGGCCCGGCCTCGGGAGGAGAGACGGGCACAGAGGTGGAGTAAGATGGAGACGGGCAAGGGAGGAAGTGGAGGGGGACAGAGACAGCTGGAGAAGAAAGCAGCACAGCCAGGGCGTGAGGCCACCCAGGTACTCACCACTTCCTCAATGACAGGCTCTGGCTTGGCGGCCTCTAGCTGCTCCTTCACCTTCTCTTCCACTAGAGGGCGCAAGAACAGCACAGGCCTGTTGGAAAGGACCCGCCACTCCACAGGGATCAGTCTAAGTGGCCCCAGGGAGGGAGAAGAACCCCAAGCTTCTTGCTTCTCCCCAGCTCTGCCAGAGGCCTGGTTTCCCAGGTTGAAGGCAGCCCCCAGGGCCCGGAAGGGGACAGCAGCAGCCTGTGGCTGGAGTGGGACAAGCCCCAGACCTCAGGCTCCCAGTAGTGAAACAGGAGATTCCTGTGGACATGTAAGTGTCCCACCTGGGTCCCACCTGGCCAGAGTCTGGGTGGCTCATCTTCCCATCCATCCCACCTCAGACTGACACTGACAGGCACCCCCCAACCAAGTCATTAGGCCTGTGGGTGGCCCCTTCTGGGGACAGATGCCAGAAACACTAACAACTATGGGCTGTGGGCTGCCTTCAGCCCTGTCTTTCTGTCCTTCCATTCTCTTGCTGACAGAAGTCCTGGGTACCTCCTGGTAGAGAGGCAAGAGGCCAGTTTCTCACCCCGCTCCCACCCCGTGGGGCGTCCGCACCCGACCGACCGGTCACTGCTTCACCGGGTGGGGAGTGGACTAGCAAGAAACGAACGGACAATGTCTGGGCTTTTGATGAGGTGGATCTCCGCGAGCTCAAGCTCAGCCTGGTGCACACAGGGAACAGATTCTTGAGGACGGAGGAGCAGTCTGCTGCTGTGGCCAGGAGGCACCCTGCTCACACTGCTGTCTCGGGCTGCATCATGGCCCTGGGAAAAGCTGGGCTGAGCCCTCCCTGGCCACTGTGTTGCTTCTGGCCGTGCTGCAGAGCGTCTACAGTCAGCCTCTCTCTGGGGTCTTTTATTCTGCCTCTTCCCGGGGCGCAGGACTCACCTTGCCCTGCTGCTCAAGGACCCCAGGTCCTTCTAATCCTCATCCCCGAGGGCTTGTGGCCCCCTCCAGGAAGGCGAGCACAAGGGGCTCTTTCTTGCCCTCCCTCATGGCCCCTTTGTGGCCCCTGAGGAGGTACTCGAGTGTCCCAGGAACCCGGTCTCTGCCTTGATAGGGGCAGCTCTTCTCTGAGGGTGATCATGAGACAGGGGGCAAAGGGCAGCCCTCGTACCTGCAACTGGTTTGGCCTGGGGGACTCTCCTCCTCTTCAGGTCCTCATCCTCTGGGACATAGTTCCGGAGCCTGAGTCCCCTGTGAGAGCAAGGCGCAGGCAGCCCGTAAGTCCGGGGTGGGGTGGGGTGGGGTGGGGTGGGATGCTTCTCATGTGTCTCCCACAAGTCCCACGTTCCCTCCTATTTGTCTGAGATGGCCAGTGAAGGAAAGCAGAACGTAAGCTCTGCCCTCCCTCACGTACTCCCCAGGCTGGGGCCACATGGCTGGGAACATTTACTAGTATCTACTGGACTACTCCATCTGACAGTGACGGCAGCTGAGGGTGACAGTGAGCTCCTGGGCTGAGTCACTCCTAAAAGAGAAGGCCCTCCCTCCATACTAGCTCTCCAAGCCCAGTCACCTTCCACAGAGCCTTCACGTCCTGGAGTCAACGTACGCCACACAGTCCGTCACATTTAGTGGAAATGGTCTGTGTGTACCAAGAGTGTGTGGCTGAGTGACATGAAGGTTTGTGTACGTGCATGCATGCATACACACGTGTGTGTGCGTGAGTGTAACACACAAAGGCAAAGATTCCAGGAGGTGACTTCTGGATCAGAGATCTGTGTGGAGGAGAAACTGGATCTGCTCCACACCCGATGGGAGCGGCCCACAGAGGCCTCGGGGACAGGCACAGCATGCACACGGCTTGGAGTCATGGTCCACTTGCACGATGGCGACACCAGCGAAGCTCATTCCCTGCAAGGTCTTTTCAATGCAGCTAGAAAAACCCAAACTTGGGGATGTGGCGTCGCAGGGGCCAGAATCACCCAGCAGGAGCCCAAATCCAGGCCTTTTAGCCCTCTGCAGACTGCCTCCCAGCTCAGCAAGCCATTCATCACAGCCCACACAGACACAGAGGACTGTTCCTGGGAGGAGGGGGCCCTGGCTACCCCACAGGGCAACAAGGTGAGTGCTCTTAGGGGCTGCTGGGCTTAAAGACTGGAGGTGGAGACAGCAGACAGAGCCCTGGACCAGAGAGACTCAGAAGTAACACCTGTTCCCCACCCCCTCTGTTTTGGGTCCTTGAGCTCTGGCCCATCAGAAAGACCTAGCTTTTCAGACAGCCTTCTAACTGCAAGACCTCTTCCTAGGGCAGGTAAAACGCTGGTGGCTTCCCCAGTTCCTGAGAGGGCAAGCCATTCCACAGGCGAGGTACATCATGCCTGTGGCCACACAACTAACCATGGCCATGCTGTGATCTCGGAGCGCCACCCGTGCCCACTCACACGCCAACATACCACCTCCTCCCTCCTGCCAAGGCCCTGGGGCTGGGCTAAACCCACATGGCCCATCCCACATGTCTGGGTACCCTGTCCCTGCTCCCTATGCCTGCTCAGGCCTATGGAAAGCAGCAGGTCACTGGGGCACACAGTGACAAAGTGGAGCCTACTGGCTCCATGGTTTTTGCTCACTACAGGGTGGGGAGAAAAGAGGAAGAGAAACTGGGTGTGGGAAGAAAATGGCAGGGATTAGTGAAAGGAAACGACAAACACCCCAAACCCCACAACTAGATCCAGGTTCCCTGATGAAGCACAAGAGAGGAGTTCCCGGCAAGAAGCCCCATCTGCGGCCCCGGTCTTCGGGGGGTCACCGGCATGACTGGGGCCTAGTACAGCAAGGGCAAAGACAGAGAAGTAAGGGAGCTGCAGTCCTGTGCCCACTTCCCAGCTCTGCTTGTGGAGGAAGCCCTGCGTGTGTGGGCATGCGCACTCGTGAGCAGTCAGGGACATCGAGGCCCGTGCTGTGAGGCCCCGGTCTCCACGCCAGTGAAGATGGAGGTTATGCTGTGCCTGGCTCCGTATCAGGCTAGGTTCAAAGGAAGAGTCTCCCTTTATAAACCCTGAACAGCTGTCCCTGCCACTGCCCCAGGGCAGGTGTCTCAGGAAAGGACCACTGGGGAGTGCTGGGTTCAGGATTCGATCCCCTCCCCACACAGTTTACACACCCTGACTGGCCTTGGAGAAGCACCAAGGTGACAGGACTGTGGGGGCTGCAAGCGGAGAGCACTGCGGCCACAAGGACCCGCCACGGCCCCTCCTTCCCCTGAACATCGGTCTCGCTAAGATGTCTGCAAAGATGAGCTTCCTGCGATGCCAGGTTGGAGAGGGAAATGCAGTGGGGTCAAGGAGGAGCAGACCCTGGCAAAGGCTTTTCATTGCGACCCCATCCCAAGAATGGCTGACTCTGCAACAGCCACAAGTAACCCACACAGCACCAGGGCAGGAGGCCCCCCCGCAGCAGGGGGTGCGATACAACTAGAGACAAGTCTCCAGCAGGGACCGGCAGGGACCGGCTAGGCCTGCTGTTGGTGAGAGGGACCCTTGAGTTCTCTCTGGAGGGGAAGAAATAACCCAAAACTTCAGATGAGCTGCGGAATTTCCATGCACAACATCCATGGGTCATTGAAAACAAGGAGGAATAGAAACACAGTCATAAGAGATCTACATACTAGAATTACCAGAAATAAACTTTAAAGTCAGGTGTGGTGGTACAAGCTACTATTGAGAAGCTGAGGCAGGAGGATTGCAAATCTGAGGGTAGCTTGAGACACACATTAAGACTATCTCCCAACACACACACACACACACACACACACAGAGAGAGAGAGAGAGAGAGAGAGAGAGAGAGAGAGAGAGAGAGAGAGAGAGAGAGAGAGAGAGAGAGAGAGAAATAATTTTCCATTCTCTTTTCGATTTCCTTGGGTTTTGGTTTTTAGTTTTTTTTGTTTTACATTTGGGGTGTGTGTGTGTGTGTGTGTGTGTGTGTGTGTGTGTGTGTGTGTGTGTGTGTGTGTGTCACAGGAGTCAGAGAACAACTTGTAGGACCCAGTTCTCTCCTACATGGGTCCCAGGACTGAACTCAGGTCGTCAGGCTTGGCGGCAAGCACCTTACTACCTGAGGCTTCTTTCGCTTTTTAAAATGGGACTCCTGTAGCCCACCTGCCCCTGAACTCCTGATCCTCCTGCCTCCGCCTCCTAAGTGCTAAGGTAATAGGCCTGTTACACCACACCCAGTTTTATTTTATTTTTTAAAGATGTATTTATTTATTATGTAGTATTTTGCCTCCATGTATCCCTGCAGGCCAGAAGAGGGCACCAGATCTCATTACAGATAGTTGTGAGCCACCATGTGGTTGCTGAGAATTGAACTCAGGACCTCTGGAGAGCAGACAGTACTGTTAACCTCTGACCCATCTCTCCAGCACCCAACACACAGTTTTAATCACAGGGTACCATTGATATGGTAAGACTTAGATATTTATAAACAGAATACCAGAAACAGACTTAAAGGAGACAATGACTGAGCCTTGAAGAGTTTTGCTCTGTAGTGCAGGCTACCTCTCAACTGGAGACCCTGCCTCAGCTTCTCAAGTGCTGGCGGGACGTACCACCATGCCCTGCAATGACTGAATGTTTCAGACAGACTCATTCAGAACTCAGTGAGCTGGGCTGGAGAGTCGGCTCAGTGGTGAAGGGCATGTTGCTCTGGTGGAAGCCTCAAGTCCAGGTTCCAGTAACAACGCAGTAGCTCACACCATCAGTAACTCCAGTCCGAGGGGATCTGACTCCCTCGTCTGACCCCCTCGGGCACTGCACTCAAGCGATGCATAAGCACACACTAGCAATCATCAAACCACAGATTACAGAAAAGTGTGAGCTCTGGGCTGGGGCTGTAGCTCAGCTGGGTGAGCACTTGGCTAGCCCTGGATTCAGTGTCTAGTATGCACAAACCAGGCATAGTGGTGCAAACCTGTAGCCCTAGTGGTCAGAAGGTAGAGGCAAGACAATCTGTAGTGAATCTGAAGCCAGGCTGGGATATGTGAAATGCTGTCACAAACGAACAAGAAAAACCATGAACCTCAAAGAAAAGTATGTGCAGGGAAACCATTGCCAAATTACTAACAGAAACAAATTAAAGACATCCACTCTTCAATGAAGAAACCGAAACTGACAGCAATGGAGTGTGGGCGTGGAGGCGAGGCTGTCCCTCAACATCTAGAAGTCTGAGGTTGGAAAACTGAATTCTACACAGCCTCAGCTACACAGTAAGACCCATTTCTTAACAAAACAAACACACCCCAAAGTGAAGCAAAGCGAAACAAGAATAAAATGTAAAGTATGTATTCACCCATAATCCTACGATTTAGGATGGAATGAGGGTTCAAGGCTAGCCTGGGCTTCAAAGTGAGATCCTATCTTAAACAACAAGTGAAAAATACAACACAAGAGGACAGGCCAAAGGGCAGAAAGAGTAACACATGGTATCTGAGGCCTGCACGGTACCTTTTAGAGCACTTGTTAAGAATGCATGCATGCTGTCCTTCCTATGAAAGACACTCAAAGAAAGGGAAGGGAGACTATATTAACAAGGCAACAGAAAAAGGGAATGGAAAGGGACAAAAGGTAAAATGCCAGGGTCTCAGACGCAAGCCCAGCCTGCCTCCCAGGCCTTCCCTTTTCCTGCTGAGCAGCCTTCCTTCTGAAGACTGGGTGTGGTGGGCTCAAGTGCCAGCCAGACTAGCAAGGCAAGTCACCACCTTCTAAGTGGTCCAGGAAATGCTGAGTGCCTGTACTCACACGGGGAAGCCATTCTTCTGGGGATCTGGGGAGCCAAATGCTGGCTCTGCCTCTCCCTCCCCTCTGTAGAATGAAATAGCTGCTGGGGAAGGGGAATCTAGAACCTTGGGCTTTAACAGTGTGACCTGGGCCCAAGTCTCGGTTTTGATGATTTCGAGACATGGACTACCATCAGTAGTCCAAGGTCGCCCATCTCTCCTGAGGTCTGTGGTGTAAAGGCTGAAGTTGTCTGAGCTGACCACCCCAGGGTCCTCTAGAACAGATGTCTTATCTCCAGGGCATTGCTCCAGCTCTGTCCCTGAGAGATCCACCTGTCAGGACAGAAGCAAAGGAGACCCACAGCACGACAGAGCCTTGTATGCAGTGGGTAAAAGGCCACCCAGCACACACAGGCAGGCCCTGTCAAGGCCCCTCAGTATTCCCCACAGCTAGCTAACAGAGCAGACAGAAAATGGTCTG